GGTGTGTCCCTGTCAGCCGTGTGGTCCTGTCAGCCATGTCACCCTGTCAGCCATGACTACCCCCGTCAGCCATGTTTCCTCCCACCCGCCATGTCCCCCCCGTCAGCCGTGTCCCCCCAGGCTGTAGTGTCCCCCTGTCAGCCAGGTCACCTCTGTCAGCCATGTCACCTCTCAGTGGTGTCCCCCTGTCAGCCATGTCACACCCGTCACCCCCATTAGTGGTGTCTCCCCCTGTCAGCCATGACCTTCTTGTCAGCCCTGTCCCCTCTGTCACTGGTATCTCCTCCTGTCAGCCATGCCGCCTCCATTAGTGGTGTCCCCCTGTCAGCCATGTCCCCCTGTCAGCCCACGTCCCCCCATCATCAGCCATGTTCCCCCATTAACAGTGCTGCCCCATCAGCCACGTCTCCCTCGTTAGTGGTGTCCCCCATGAGCTATGTCCCCTCAGGGCCAGTCCCCGCCACTTTGCCAGGCACAGGGGAACAGCCCAGGGCGCCATCGATGAGATCCTCCTTCACCAGCCCCAAAACAGGCCCAGAGGCATGGCCACACTTGGTTCCTGGCCCGCTGCAGAAAACAACCTTCATTTTGATTCAAGACATCCCGCTTCCCTGCCACTGACTGGCTGGGTGAGTACAGTGAGCCACATCAGTTCACCGCGCACCTTTCCCCCTGCAAAAAATTTTACAGATCTTGTGTAGTTAGTGAGAAATTAAACAGTTTTTTCACCAAGAAGGCAGTCAAATGCTGGAACACGGACCCAGAGTGGCAGTAGGGTCTCAGCCCTTGGAGATAGTCAAAACTCAACCAGACAAGCCTCTGAGCAACCAGCCCTGTTGGAGCAGGAGGTTGGACCTAGGGTCTCCCAAGGGACCAACGTGATTCCATGAATCTCTGGTCTTAGAGGCAGGAGCTGCGTATGGTGGTACCTCCTGCAGCAGACCCATTCTCAGCTCAATCCTTAACATTTCCTGTGTTGAGCTGGGCTGCCCCAACGGCATTGCCTAGGCAGGCTGCTGAAACCTTGAACTTCTGCGCTGGGGAATATCACCCCTTTGAGCGAAACTCCGCTGTGCCCAGGGAGCCGCTTTCTCTGGAGCCATAGGCAATTTTTGTGGTGGCTTGGGCTGGGGCCAAGGAGCACTCAAAAGATAAAAGTCCATAACCTTGAACTTGGCACAGTATTCCTCAGGCTGGAGAGCAGTGGCCTGGTGTCAGCAAACAGGTACAGCCTATGCCAGGATCCTTGGTGTTTTCCATGGTTTAATGCACTCCCTGGGAGCATTGCCTTGCTGTACGTCGCAGGAGCTGTAAACCTGTGAACTGGTGAGCGTCGTCTGCCACTCCATGCAATGTTCTCATCAGCAAAGAGGCCAGAAACAGTTCTTCTACAGACAAAAGGGGCTGGTGCTGGTATTTTCTATTAAGGATGCTCCCTAGTTTTGAAGAGCACAGCTGCAGTTCCCTGCTCTGGTGTTAGTCTGCTGGCTGCCTACACTGCTTGAGGGCAAAGTTTCTTCTGTGGCTCCATTTGGGAGGACATAGCTGGTTTCCTCCAAGATGAAACCCAGGAGTAGTTCAGATGATACCTCCCTTCATGGGCTGTATTCTGCAGGCAGCATCACTCCAGAGATGCTCTCTACACCTCTCCAACATGACCTCAGCAGGCTTTACACCCCAAATAGGTCAGCTGCCCTCACACCACACGGTAGCATATGTAACAAAGCTTCCTTAGCCATATGCTATGAAATCACTGTCCTGGGAAGCTGCAGCGTGGCCTCAATTAACGGCCTCATATTAACGGCCTCATATTAATGACCTGCTACGCCACCTGGATGCTCACAAGTCTATGGGGCCAGATGGGATACACCCGAGAGTGCTGAGGGAGCTGGCGGAGGAGCTCGCCAAGCCACTCTCCATCATTTATCAGCAGTCCTGGTTAACGGGGGAGGTCCCGGACAACTGGAGGCTTGCCAATGTGACGCCCATCTACAAGAAGGGCTGGAAGGAGGATCCGGGGAACTACAGGCCTGTCAGCCTGACCTCGGTGCCGGGGAAGATGATGGAGCGGTTCATCTTGAGGGTGCTCACAAGGCATGTGGGGGACAACCAGGGGATCAGGCCCAGCCCGCATGGGTTCATGAGAGGCAGGTCCTGCTTGACCAACCTGATCTCCTTCTATGACCAGGTGAC